CCCTACCGGGGGAACGGAAGAAAAAGAAAAAAGAAGGGAAGAACAAAAGCATGGGGGGGTGCACAATCCCCTCTCTCTCTCTATGTCTGTCTGTATCCGTCTATCTCGCGTAACATTTTTTTTTCTCTCTCTCTTCCCTTTTTGCGTGCCCACCCGCCCTTCCGCTCCACTCTCCACTTTCCGAAGCCAAAAAAGAACGGATACATACAGCCCTATACCGACGTAGTCCCGCGGCCCCGATAATGTATGTATGGCGTGTTTGTGTTTGTGGGCGTATGTGTGATACGAGGGAGGGGGGGGTAGCGGGGTTTAGCGGGTAGGGTAGAGTAGAGTGTAACGGCGCAGGTAAGGCAGGTCGGATCTGTTTCGGTCGTAGGATCACTCAGAGGCATATGGGAGTGCGTGGGATCACAAAGAGCCTAGATTCAACAAGCCACCTATAGGCCTTGTACGAAAGGATATCAAAAGTCTACAGAGCTAGCTACAGGGAGTGTCTCAATATATACCTATCCTAGTCGGGTCCGAATTCGGATCCGACCTCGGGCGAATGGCTGATGAAGGGCGGCAGGTACTTCCTCCGATCCGGCTCTGGGATTGGCTCAATACTTGGCGAAGTTGTAACATCGTTACATAGAGTAGGGTAGGGGTATGTGTGCATGTGTGTGTGTGTAAAAGCGGGGAGGGGAAACTTTGTTTTTATTAGGGGAAAAAGAACGAGGAACGACAACAACGATAGGTGTGGAGTTACTAGATAGAGATGGAGATGGGAATGAATGGCGATGCAAGTTCTCGCTACTTTGCCCTTGGCTGGACTAAACACTATCGAGCCGGTGTTAGGCTGTCTTGGTACTAGTAAGTAAGTAGGACTGGGATTGGACTGGCGCAATCCTACTTACTACTTACTTACAGGGATCGCATCTATCTATCTATCAATCTACGCATGTATGTTCCCACGTTTCCAGGTACATACATACATACATACATACACCAACACAGACAGACAGACAGACAGACAGACAGACAGACGTCGTTTCGGATACAAGGATGCGAACCTCGCTACTCGCTGCTTATTCTAGCTCCGTCTTACACGGTACCCTGTCTGTTCCGCTGCCTTGCCGTGTCCTCCATGCACCGAGCGATACGAGCAACAGATACAACGATAGATAGGGGAGTGCGCAATTTTTTCCCCTTCTCTCTATTGCCCCTGCTTTGCTGTTGGGCGGACATGTTGAATTCGCGCGTACAGGTGCACATGGCTACACGTGTGTAACTGTGGATTGCGATGCGATGCGATGCGATGCGATGCGGTGTGGTGTGGGCACACACCCCCTTCGTCGTGACTGGCTCGCCGGGCGGCACGCGGAGCGGCATGCGGAGCGGCAATCGGAGCGGCATGGCCTAGGCGGTGCCCATGCATGTATACATGTAGATGTTAGGGCATGCCATGGATGCCCTATAGGTTGCATGCATGCGCGTGGCTGTATACTGTACACGGGCTGAGACCATGTGCTGCGTGCAGAGTTTGGGCGTGGCCCAGTAAATAACGTGTGAGCTCTTTTTTCTTCTCTCTCTCTCTCTCTCCGCGGAACAAGATACACACATACATGTGCATGTGATTGGGGCGAGTAGTTTGCGTGCATACAAGTACATGCATGCATACGGAACGAGCACGAGTAAACGTCATTTGCATCCATGTATGTAAATGTAAGTTTTTCCTTTTTCTTTTTTTTTGCTGGTGCCCGTCGGCACGGCATCGCAAGTTAGGCTGCGGAACCACACAAGTACTTAGACGGGCACATACTAGTCGTTTCCCGCGAGAGGAAAAATTCCCGAGCGGTTTCATCAAACGACCGTTGTTGGGCTGCATGTCGGTGTGTACACCTAGTAGTCGCAGCGTACATGCAACATGGCCCCTGGTCCCCCCTCCGAGTCTGTGTAATAATAGCTCACACCCAACAATCGTGGTCGTCGGAAGCTGCACCTTTGCGCGTGGGTGTGTGCGGTATTACACAAAGCGACCAGTCTAGATTGTGCGTGGGGTGGCGGTGGGGCTTGCATATACATACATGTAATGTACCTGGTCTCCGCCTTCACCGGGCTTAGGTAATGCTGGGTGTAAGATTTGGCATGGGGCACGGCTTTTGCTTGGTAAATGCTGACTCAGGCGACTTTGATTACTTGTTGATGCTGCGTCTAGGTGCATGGAGATTCATTCAGGGTTCGTCACGACATTATACATAGTGCTAAGCTAATACAGGACAGACAGGATGATGTATGGCCCACCAAGAAGCCGACAATGCGCCAGAGATGCAAGAAAAAAAAGTGTCTCATCATGCTCGTAATAGGTCCTCGTCAACCTCCCAATTATCCCATGTAGGGCGGTCGAAACCATTGGGCCGTGAGCTGCGGAGGAAACCGTTCCAGTAGCCGTCAATACAGACTACAGGCCTGATGGTCCTGACATTAGCATTGAAGCCTTTGCTGAAGCACTCTTGCATGTGTCGGTCCTCAAACAGCTCTGGGTGGGTTCTCCTCATTGTCCTGAGGGCGCGCTTGCCGACCTCATCCACTGAGTCGTAATGCCGCAGCTCGAAGAACTCCTTGTCGTGTTCTTTCCTCAGCTCGGCCATGGTCTTATCGTCGTAGAGACCAAGTTCGAGCAGGTATATGTCGTATTGGCACAGGGAAGTACGGCCGATATAGCTCCCCCCATACTTGGCTCGCTTGTGGAGCCCCACAAGGGCAGCAATGGTGCCCATGCAGCCTGTCCCGTAGTCGCTCATGGGAAAAGGTGGGACGACTGGCTCGTTGAGCCCCATTGCTTGGCCTTGTGCCCAGGCTACGCCAGTAACACAGTCTGCAATCTGTTGCCAGCCGGGGCGTGATGCCCATGGTCCGACATGACCAAAGCAGTTTTCGGAAACGTACACTAGGCCCTTGCCGCGCTTCTTGGCCAATTCGACAAGCTGCTGTGGCCCATATCCGAGACGAGCCAGGCTGCCCGGGCGATAGCCGTCGAGGACAACATCTGCAGACTGCAAGAGCTCTTCAAACGTTTGTCGGTCTCGAGAGTCTTTTAGGTTTAGGTCGGTAGTGTGCTTTCCAATGTTGGCATCTACCTGAAAGAAGGGTACATCGGACAGGTTCGGCGATGTGACTTTGATGACTTCAGCGCCATACTCGGCAAGACCGCGGCCCATTGCCGGACCGGCAATGATACGGCAAAGCTCCAAAACTCGGATGCCGGCGAGAATCTGCGGTTTCGGGGCGCGTGTTGGTCGGAAGGGCAGCGGGGTTGCTGGGGTGTCGGTTTCTAGCGGTTCTACCTTCCACGGCGGCTCCTGAATCATGGCTTGGCCATGCTGCGTAGCCCGAAAATCCTCCCACTTGAGGCAGGTGACACCCGCCTGCTTGATTTGGCGGTTCTTCTCTTCCAGCTCGTCTGCAGTAAACTGCCTCACATGGTCCTCAATGACCTTGATGCATTCGTGGTAGTCTGTCAGGTCGGGCCGGAAGCCCTCGAGACCGACCATGTTGAGTGCTTTTGTGGCCTCGAGCGAGCCATGGAGATGAAAGTACTCTCCAGGGTTCTTGGTCTGGTACAGATTTGCAGACAGCCTCCGGTACAGAATAGACTGTGCTTGGAGGAGGTCGGTGTCTGTGTGTGGTCAGGGGTGCCGCCACAGGCCTGGCAGAGTTTGTCATGCTCACCTTTGAGTAGTTTTCTGACCTTTGGACTTGACTTGTCCAGGCCGCCGACGGTGGTGAGATAGGTGGAGAAGAGAAAGGCCGTGGCTCTTTCCAGGTCGACGGCAATGGCACGCTGTCTCTGGTGGCTGTGAAGATCAGCTATGGCCGAGGCCACGCCCGCCTCGACCGCCTTGAGGGCTGAGATGGCCTCGGTCTGCTTGAGCGGACTGGGGAAGTAGGGAGAGCCCGTGTTGGCGGTTGAGAAATGGACACTGGCAATGTGCGGAAGGGCCTCGCCGGGCAGGTAGTCGTGGGCCTTTGCGAGCAGCTGGTGCAGGGCCGAGCGGGTGCCGGCCAGCAGGGCGTTTCCTTGGGTGGCATCAACGGCGTGCGTGTGCTCTGCTCCGAGGAAGGGCGCCATGATGATGGTCGACCGACGAGTGTTCTGGCAGTGGTAGGGCTGGGGGACGCGAGCGGCAGCTTAAGAGCGAGCCGTGGGAGGCGTGCGAGACGGGCCGGGCAGCCATGACGATGATGGCAGCCGTGGGCGGCGCTGGACAGTCGAGGGCGCGGCAGGGCGAAGCATGTCCTTGTCCTGGTAAGCAGGCGTGGCAAGGAGCATCGGGTACCACCCAAGGCGTGCATGTCGACGGGATGCTTCCCAAGACGGATCGGCAGACGTCGCGCGGCGGGCGAGCGCTACCCGACTTTCGGAAAGGTGCCGGCCCAAGCTTTCGAGTTCCCTTGATGGCGCCAGGAGATCGATCGCTCCCAAAACCCCTCGCAGGCCCAGGACCGCCTCCGTCGCCCGTCAAGTCGTCACCGGTCCGCGCATCAGCTGCACGCCAGGGCTGTGGGACCGTCTACTCGCGCCCGCCTCGGCCGGAGCCATCGATGCAACACCCGGGGCGCTTCGCCTTGTCTTCACCACCGTCACGTCGAGTGCATCTTCCGATCACCTCATCCTTCCGCCGCGTCGGCAATGTCCCCAACGGCCTTCACTGCTGAGGGCTGCACGTGACGAGACCACTGCCGAGGCGCGCAGGCGCAGGCGGTACACGATGACGCGCCCAAAGGTTCCACCAGGTCCGTCTGCGCGTGGGTCGGTGTGGCTGTCCTACTAATCCGCCGTGGTGTAGATCAGCGGCAGCGCACCGCCCAAGCATGTGAAAGCTGCAAACGCAGAAAGCAAAAGGCAAGTTCGTGTGCTTTCATACTCGCCGTCGTCCGGAGCAGCGCCAGGCGCCTCATCAATTCTGCTTCCCGTCGCGGAGCTCGCTTGGATGCGCGCGCAACCCTCCAGGCCGCACTGTGCCGGGCCACGCTTACTTTTATCCGGCCATGTTCAACACATCAGACTCGGGTGCTCAGAGCCAGAGCAGTAGACCTGCCCGCCATGCGTCTGCCCGGGGGCCATGCACCCGCGGCACCGGAGACATAGGCCGGCTCGACTGATGGCATTGCCTGTGTCAGCGTGGCAGCACTGTCAAGACTGTCCAATCACCAAACCCATGGCTAACGAAAACAAAGTGCAACGGCCTCCAACCTTGCAATACATGTGACAAGGTAAGCATGCCAACTTGCCCACTTGCCCACTTGCCCACTGGCTCAGTTGCTGAAAACGCCCAGCGCAAGTTTACATGCATCTACACGGACCGAGACCCAAGCTCTCCAAGCGAAGACAGGCCACCCACTAAGAGGCGCGTAGTCGAGACTACTGGCGACGCCCGAAGTCCACTGTATGTATCCTATTCCCACCAGAACGACGGTGACGGTGACGGTTGCGAGGCCCTGGTGCATATACGCTCACTTGACACCACTCATCCGCTTGGCCCCTCCGCTTGGCGCATCACCCATACTGACTCGATGCTGACCCTCCAGTGCGAAAGATAACTCTGCATCAAACACACCCACAAACTGCCAGGCACAGCCCTCGCCTCTATTATCCCTACACCGACGGAGATCCTCCGTCTCCCATCAGCCCCCCCTGACATCACATGGCCTGAGTTTGGAGCAAGAAGCACCACCCTATGCAGCCCCTGCTTCCCGGCCCACGATTGACCATGGGAACACCTCAGTGACTCAATTGCCAGCGAATCATGGCAGTGAAGGTACCGGGCGTGCCGTGTCACTTGCCAATACCACGCATGACGGCGGAGATGATGTCGCAGAGTTTCCGAGCCAGAGTCGGATGCTGCAAGACCCCACTGGCCGCGTGTTGTACATTGGCGACGCGGCTACACTATCTTTTCTTCAGCTCCTGCGGATGATGGTGGAGACCGTAGCCGGTCCTTCTCCATTTACCACTGACCCTCGCCGACACAAGATAGTCGAAGGTCAATTCTCGCTGCCACATGGCTACCAGCACACCCATCTCCTGCCCGACGAGCGAACGGCCCGCGTGCTGGTCGAGGCATTCTTCGTCAACACTCATGGCCTGCTGCAGGTCTTCAACCGCGACCGTTTCTTTGAGAGCCTAGAGCAATGCTATTCGGATCCACTCTCGGCCAGCCCGTCATGGCTGTGCCTGCTCTATCTGGTATTTGCTATTGGCTTGACCATGGCGACGCCGCTGTCTGGAAGTCCAGAGGCACTCATTATTGACAAGCTTCGGAGCGAGCATCTCGACCGAGCGGAAGCATTCTACCTGAATGCCAAGAGTTTGAACGACCCCATGACTGGATTAGAAGATCAAGACTTCTGGTCCGTTCAGGCCTTGCTGCTCATGTCGGTTTACATGCTGGCCAAGTCGAAGCGAAACACTGCCTTTGCCTTGCTGGGCATGGCGGTGCGATCTGCGCTTGCACTGGGTCTCCACAGAGAGGAGACCATGGTGATATTCAGCCCAGAGGAGCAGACACAGCGAAGGGACCTGTGGCGGTCACTTTTTGTCATTGACCGTCTACTGTCATGTTCACTGGGCCGCCCAACTGCCATATCCGAGGACGACTGCTCGGGCGATATTCTCCAGCCTCCTGACAGTGCACAAGACCAATCCTGGAACTTCGCCTTAAAGACGGTGTATGACTACAATGACACTGGGCCTGCCGCGTTGGAAGCTGCCGTCCGAAGTTGCAAGGTGATTGGCATCATCTTACGTAGGGTGTATCAGAGACGCAAGATCAGCACGCGGCTTGCGCAAGAGATTTCAGACATTTGTAAGGCATGGCCACGAGCGTTGACACCCATCCTACAGTGGCGACAGGCTGCAACAGCATCGCCCAGCCAGGGCGTGGCTATTCTGCACGTCAATCTGTTTTATTGTCATTCCATCATTCTTCTGACTCGGCCGTTCTTGTTGTACATTCTCAATAAAGAGACACAGCGTCACGTCAAACAGCCAGGAGACAGAGGCCCTCGACCTTATATCCGCATGGAACGCTTCAGCGAGGCGTGTGTCATTGCCTCAGTGCATACGATTCTGCTGATACAAAACGCTTTTGAAGCGGGCCACTTGTCGCGTCGCAACCCAGCAGTCATTTACTTTCTGTTTGCAGCCACTCTGGTGATTCTCGCCAGCGATTTTGCCCGCCTCTATCAGATTGATGTGACGGACAACTGCGTGGCCAATGCCATCAATATCATGAACTATTGCGCGGAGAGCGATCAACAAGCAATTCGGCTTGTATATATACTCAGCACTTTCCGCGACGTAGTCACGCAACAACGCCTGCGACGCAGGGACAGCCAAACCACCAATTCGACCCTACCGAGCATAGCATCACAGTTGTACGGCGCCCATGTGCCGACGCCCCCGCCACAGCAACAGCAACAGCAACAGCAGCAAACCCCAATGCAACAACAGCATGTTGTCCCGAATGTCACTGGCCTAGTCCAGAATCCCATGGACGGCACGCCACGCCTCCACCAAGTCCCTGTACACATCTATCCTGGCCTCCACACAGCACCCCTCAACGAAACGACCCCAACGCACCAGACCCAAGCCCAAGCTCCAGCCCAATCGCAGTCCCAACTCTTGCATGTACCCAATCCAGGCGCAGTCCCGGTAGCCCAGCAGCCCCAAGCAAACACACTCAATCCGCCTCAACAAGACTTTTCAGTGCACCTTTCGCCCATCCAGGAGCCGGGGCTAGATCTATCAGCGAATTCAGTACCCATGGCTACAAAGACACCATCGCTATCGACGATGCTGGATCTCTCTGCATTGGAAGCCACGCGGGTGCCCAGTCTGCACAGCGAGGAAAGCGGGCTGGACGAGCAGATTGACTTTGATACGCTATGGGCTTGGCCCAGCAATACGCCTGCAACGGGAAGTCCAAGGGGAGCAGACGGGGGGAATGGAAATGGCAATGGAAATGGCAATGGAAACAATGGTGGCGGACGAGTAAATGATAGGGTGCAGGGGATAAGTGATAGTGCTGTACCCATGTTTGGGGTTAGTAGAGCAGGGGCGGCGCACAGAGACGGGTAGATTGGTAGGTGGGTAGGTGGGTAGATGGGCGGTAGATGGTTGGATTGACGAGCATGCACGGGCTTTAAATGATGTGGGGAGGAATCTGACATTTCAATGCGTGTACTTGGAAACGTTGGGTTAGCGTCATGTCCTTGGTCTCCTGATGCGGTGTTGTTATGTCAAAGAGTCATGGTAGCTTTTGTAGTGTTTATAGGTTCGCTGTTTCAGCTTGTAATGTAACGAGGTATGAATGGGATCCATGGGAGAAGGGTGCGAAACCAGCCATTATACTTTATTTCTTTCTCCAAGTAATTTCAGTGTCCAACGCAGCGGGGTCCACAACACATACAGCCACCTTGCATGTATATTCGTACTTTTTTGTTTCACATTCGATAAAAGTTAGCCGGGGGTATATGCCAAAATCAAGAAATCTACCAAAACGAAAAACAAAAAAATCCAACTTGCACCCAGAAACTCCTCAAACGTATGCGGTGACAGCCATTCAAACTGTTTTTTATTCTCGCCACTCCTTGGCGCATTGAGTGCACTGTTTGGTCGTTAGTAAGAGTCTTGTGGTGCTGGAGCAAAGCTGAATTGACCTTGTAGAAAGCCGTCATAGGCTCATCTGCACTGCGGATTTGTAGCTGGTACCAGTAGGCTTCGTGGTTTCTGCATTTTTCGTTTGGACATTGGACTTTTTTGTGGCGTTAGTCGATCTTTCTCTGGATCTCACTTTCTCTTTCTCGGTGTGTGACATACCCTCCGTCTTATCGACATTGTCCCAAGCACCCTTTCCGCCCAGAATATCCTCGACTTCCTTCTTCTTCATGTACTTGCGCTCGTAGTAGCGCTTGTTGATGACAAAGTGGTAGGGGCACGTCAGGCACTCGAAGCGGTTCTGGCCGACGAAGTCTTCAGTCGTAGGGTCGCCTGGGGGGACGGCCGACACGCGCAGCATGTTGCTGCATGTTGGGCAGACTAGAGCGGGTGTGTTGGCGGGGGTTGCAGGCAGCGTGTGGGCGGGCAGAAGAAGAAGCAAGCATGGATGACTTACAGAGCAGCATGGCGGGCTGTGGTGTGTTGTGTTGTGTTGTGTGGATGCAGAGCGGCTTTGCAGCGGAGGGCGATGGCAGCGATAGTCGCCATGGTCAAAAGATTATGGCGGGCCCCCCATGGCGCTAGGGCCGGATGAGGCAAAGTGCGGGGCGAGAGGTACCAGCAGCCAGTCGTGGGCGGAGGCAGAAGGCGCAACCTGGCTGGCAAAGTCGGGAGGGGAGGGGGCGACATGTTTACTGGGCGGTCTCAGATTGCGGGCTTATGCACCTCGCCCCCCCTCCCTGGCCAGCAGTGAGACAGCGACGGCGACAGCGAGACAGCGAGCGAAAGGCGAGGGCACGTCACTCACCAACTTCACTGGCTGCGTCCCTCGAGCGCCTTGGACGCATCCCCAACGACAGCCGCCTGCACTTCGCTCCTCACCGCCCTTGGCCCTGTCACCTTATTTCCGTTAGCACTTCCGAAGTACCCCGCCAGCACCAAGTCGAAACATTCACGCGTGCGTGCGCCCAAACCGTCAGCCACCCAACCCTTGTCCCCCGTCCAGCCCAGTGCCAGTCACCTCCCACTGTGCGAGCACTCCCACGCGAAGACGCTTCACCATGGCCGACGAAGACGTATGTAGACGGCTTTCTGTGCCCGTGTGCCGGCTGCATGCTAACCACCTGCCACGACCCCCCAGGGAGCCTCTCCTCGCGAACTCATTCTCGAAGCCTGCCGACGCAACAACACCGAACTGCTGCAGGACACATTGAAGGAGCTGACGGCGGCCGCGACAAAGTCGGGAAAGAAGCCCGAAGACCATGTTGCCGACATACTCAACAATGCGCGGGACGGCATGGGCAACGGCTGTCTTCACGTCGCTGCCACGTACGGAAGCTGTGAGTAGCCGCACACAACCCAGGCAGCGGGCTGGGCCATCGAGATGCTAACGCCTTGTCTTCCCCCTCTGCAGTCGAGGTCATCGACATGCTGCTTGACCAGGAAGGCCTCGAGATTGACGAGATCGACCGCATGGAACAAGACACGCCCCTCCACAAAGCCGTACGCTACGTCAATGCGCTCGACCAGGACGTCTGGCAACACGGCCAATCCATCGTCGCCATGCTCCTAGACGCGGGATGCGATCCGAGAATACGGAACAAGGCCAAGCTCAAGCCCGTCGAGCTCGTCGACCCGCGGAACAAGGAGCTGAGGAGCATGCTGCAAAAGGGCGAGTTTGCCATGCAGATGGGCGGAGACGTTGTCGAGGATGACGACGACGGCCCCGCGGGCACGGGAAGCGAGAGCGACTGAGGACGTGACGAGAAAACAAGGCAGTTTCGAAACTCATCATTTGGCCTCCGCTTTTTTGAAGCATGATAGCAGGGCTATCTTCATTTAGAGTAGACGCGTCTGTGTGCTCCTCTCACCACCACGTCTCGGCGTTTGCTATGGATCTGAGCATGTCTATAGAATCAGCTTTGAAGCCGTTTCAAACAAGCGGCATGTAGCCAGTCGTTGGTTTCCACGTCGCCATGACTACTGTCCTTGCATGCATCCGTGGTGTCGGCACCAGGAGCGGCCTTTCCCCTCCCCCTCCCTCTTCCCCCCTTCCTTTTTTTTTCTCTTGCGCAGTGAGGTGTTCTTTAATCAAATTTATTTCACGTTTTCCAGTTCAGATGCCATCTCGAATCAATCTTGTTGCTGCTCTCTCGTGTCAGTGTCTGCGTTTGGGCAGATTCGTTTTTTGCTTTGTCATGGACTGACCTCAGGCGGCGGCCCAACCGGCCTGACCATTCTTTCCAGCAGCTGCAGCCTCGTCTTCTCGCGCGGCTGGCCCAGCCCAATACTCATGTACTGCAGCAGAGGCGGGTGTCCGACGTAGCTCGACAGCGAGTCGCGCGCAATGTTGGACGTCCATTCGTGTTTGTTCGTGTCTGCGCTGCCGATGCCGATGTAGCGCGCCTGGAGCGCCTCGAGCTGTTGCTGTGCGCGGAGTTTGTCGGCCATGGCTGCAGTGTACTACGGGGCTGAATCGATGGTTTACTGGGATTCCTCACAAATGAAAGTCGCGCTTCGTAACAAAGTCGCGGAGACTGGGGCGAACCGCGGAGGTGCGTGCAGGAGGCCGAGCTTAGTCATGACGCATCCACAGCGCCTTCTCCCATAGTCGCAAACCACCCTTCCATCACACCCGTGCGTGCCCAGCATTCTTTCACCAAATCCCAGAAAAAACCCAGACGGATATTACTGCGCTGCTTTTTGCGTGTCGCCGACCGCCCCTTGCGAACCCGCGACCCCTGACTCCACACCATGAGCAACGAAGACACCATTATGAGCAACGCGCCGCTGACGCCACGCGACGAGCCCGACCTCACATCGCCCATAGTCGACTTCTCGCCGTCGACGGTGCGCTACGACGAGGGCTTTGAAAACAGTCTCATGGAGCTGATTCTCAATCCGCCAGCGGCAGCCTCGCCGCGCAAGCCCTCGCAGGAGATTCCTACCATTTCGGCTGCGCAACTACCCATAGCATTGTCGTCGCATCTGCGCACCCACAGCTCGCCGATCCCGGGCCTCTATCTCACGCACAAGAACGGATACTACACTGGTGGGCCGGGCCCCTCGCCGCATTCCGTTCAGGAGTTTGCCGATCGCTTCATCCGCGAGCATGGCATTGAGGATGCGGGGCAGCTTGAGAGAGTGGTGGAAGACGTCGTTAGGAGCAAGCTGCAGGAGGTCAGGGAGCGCATGGAGAGGAGAAGGGAAATCGTCGAGAAGAACAAGGCCGTCGAGAGGGAGCTCGAGGATCTCAGGTTGCAGCGCAGTGCTGAGCTGAGGGTTATGGAGCGGGTAAAGGGTAAACGGCGATGAATGGTGGTGGTTGGCTAGGCGCAAGAAAGACAATACGAGGGCGTTTGGAAATCGACTTTGGCATAGTCATGGGAGGGGAAAGGGGGGTTGGTGTGGCGGGGCTGGGCTCAGTTTTTGAACGGTGAGGAAATTATGATACCCGACATTGCGATGTCACGACTGGTGGGGACGCAGACTCCATCCTTTTTTGCTTCACGGGCGCAGCAGGGCTGTGTCTGTATGTTCCATGTGCTCTGAATTGCGGCATATGCACTAGAAGTGGAACAATAACAACAAGTCTGTGTTGTATATATAAGATCAGCGACGACAGGGAGGCTCTCTCGTGTGCCAAATCTCACACACATGGACATTTTCGTTGATACTGATACCCAAGGCACCCTTTTTTTCCCAATACCTTGCGTACACCTACACCGATCAACCAACTGCATGCATGCCGATAACCCTTGATCGACATACATACATACATGTATGCTCGACACCCATATCCCAGCAACCCACACTCGATAACATGCACAACTATACTTCCCCGAGCCGTCTCCACCACACCACCCGCGCCACAGCCACAGCTCAAGTCGGACCCTGGATCGGCACTGCAGCGCCGCGTGGACTCGTTGCCAATGACGCCATTGACCTCCCTACCTGAGACAACAGCTCGAGGCGGCGGAAATAAAACAAAAAAAAACAGAAACAAGAAAGAAAGAGTCATGTGCTGCAGTCATTATAGTTGGGGGAGGCCTTTAGTGTGCGTGACTATGACTACTCGGGTTTCCTTAGCTTGAACTTTGCTCGTTACCTCGAGTTACGTATGGGAGGCGGTAAGAGGGATAAACGGCAAAGCGCCAAATGGGGTCGAGGGGAGGCAGATAAATAGAGGGAGGCGTGGGGCGGGGATTCTTGTGTGCAAGAAAAGGGCTTGTGAGGAAAGATTGGCTTGGGCTTCTTGCATGTACCTGAGCTACCTACTCACTTTAACTATTTACTTGCCTACTTACCTATCTACGTGCCTCTTTTTTTTTCTCTCTCTCTTCGTTCTTCGTTGTTCGTTGATAACTCGAGTTTTCCTTCCCGCATTACTGCATGCTGGACTGACGATTGGCCCGACTGACGATTGGGCCGCGGCGGCCGCAGCAGCAGGGTCACGACGCGGGTTTTCTTTGTTTAGCGAGCGAGCGAGCGAGAATTACTTAGCTACCTACCTAGCTACCTATTGTTTCCCCCCTTTGGCAGACTAACTTGTGTCACGTACGTCCGTCCGTGACGAGAGGTGTCGACGAAGAGAAAAAACAAGAGACGGGAGAAGGTGTCCGATTGTGCGACGCACATTCAGCTACTGGTGATTCGACGATAAACAGGTTCCTTTGTTTGCATTGTCATACGGTGCGACAGGTTCGGCGGTGTTGGCGTTGGTGCACCATCTCGGAAAAGAAAAGAGAAGCCTCGGAGATAAGCACGAGCAGAGCAACCACCACTACCGCCACCACCACCCCTCATTTTCTATCCCCAACCATGTCTGGGAAGCTGGGCAATCTGGCATGGAGCGGGTTCAAGCTGGGGTTCGGGCTGTTCAGTCTTGCCGGCGTGTGGACATCGGCTGTTGTGCATAACGGGGCGCTGTGGGCTCGAGACAGCGAGGAGGAAAAACGCGAATTGGCGGCTGCTCAAGACCGCTTTTGGAGTCTGGATCGCGAGCCGCTGCCGGGGTTCAGACATGCGTTTTTTGAAACGAGTGCCGGATGCAGAATACACTATGTTGTGCGTGAGGGGGCGGCGGCAGAGGCTGGCAAAGAGAAGAATGTGGCTGTTTTCATACATGGTATGTGAATGGACGAAGTTTTGGAGAGTTTGAGTGGTTTTTTGGAGAGAGAGATATGCTAATGATAATAGGTTTCCCCGATTCCTATATGATCTGGAAACATCTTCTTCAATCTCCCTCGCTGCAACAAGACACCATTCTCGTTGCCGTTGATCTCCCTGGCTACGGAGGCTCAGACAGCCTGCCCAGCTACGGGGCCAACGAAATGCTCGAAGCACTGAGCGAATTCATGATTGCCATCCGGCAACAGTACCTCCACGACGGCAAGAAAACCGTAGCCGTAACCCACGACTGGGGCGCCATCATCGGCGCGCGCCTCGCTTCCGAAGCTCACGTCCTAGCAGACCACTGGATCATCACCGGCGGCGTGATCCCCAGCCTGCAACGCTCCAACGCCGAGCACAGGATCCAACTCGCAAAGCAAATGCTGCACACATGGGTCTCGTCGCCCATGAATACACGGCTCCTCAAGAACGGACTCAACGCCCTAAAACCCATCCGCGACCAATTCCGCCGCTCCTTCTACATCTTCGTCTTCCATCTCCCCTGGCCCCTCAACAACACCCTTGCCACCTTTGGCAACTACTGGTTCCTGCGCCTCCTCCATAGCCTAGGCAAAGGGGCCTCAACCCCTTCTTCTCCTTCTTCTCAATCCAAACAAGCAAACACATCCCTGGACGCCGTCGAAGCCGCCGAAGCAATGGCCATTACCACGGGTCCCGCTCTCGAACAACTTTCTTCAAAAACAACGCTCGACGCAGTTTCCTACGGCGCCTCGCTGCGCGCCCGCCTCACAGACCGCGGCATGCACGAGAAAACACGTATTTACCGCGAAAACTTCATCTTTGGCAAGTGGGATAAATCTCTCGAAACAACCGCTGCCCTGTACAATATCGCGTCGTCTGCTTCGTCCATGCGCTCCTCGTCGTCTGCGGGCACCCTCGCGAGCTCAGCGCTGCAGGGTGCGTTGAAAGCGCCTGCGACGCTCATGATGGGCCAGTATGAACCTGCGTTTGATCAGCGGCTTTCGCTGGATAATGCGCGTGAGTATCTGGTTAGGGGGAGTCAGGTGGTTGTTGTGAAGGGGGCGGGACATTGGTGAGTTTTGACTTCCTTCTCCTGTTGATATTCCATCAAGAGAAAGAGAGAAAGAAATAAAGAGAACACGAGATATGGGCTTGGCTAACATATCCGCACAGGCTACAGCTTGAACATACCGGCCGCCGCATTCTGGAAAAGACGCTGCAGTGGGCGCTGCGCAGCGATGCAGCAAGTGCTGCTACACCCTTTGATACCATGAGCGACGTCCGTGTCGTCGAGGCTGTGTAGATGGACGGCGGTGGTATGCAGGAGATGAAGTCCAGTAACGAGGTATTTTGAGGAACGAAGTATTTACTTGGACAGCAGTAGAAGAAGAAGAAGAAGAAGAAGAAGAAGAAAACATCCCAGTCATCTGGTCTCTTTCTCTCTTTTTGTGACTGAGACAATAAATAGTGTAGTCAATTGTATGGTTACTACAAATACTTTCTGAAGGAACCATATATATTCAATGTGTGAGTGCTCAAAGGGTATAAGTATCGTTGCTTTGGCAGACCAGCCGCCAAAGAAGCAGCAGCAGCAGCATCTAGTTTTCCTACATAACCCAGCATATGGAACCATTACCCTGTCCTACCCCGTGAAATCCAACAAGTGCCGTTGCATCAAGAATCCCCACAGCAGGGATATGACACACGCGGTGTAGCGATATACCAGACCTTCAATACTATACTATATATATTGATACCCTCACATTACCATTACCACTACACCTACCAGCGCATCACTCGGAATCCAGCTCGGCATCAAGACTCAGTTCCACCAATCCACTTGCTACATCTCTCTCTGGACGGATGGTCCACCGCACAGCCGCCATGCCGACGAGGCCTGCGCTCATGGCCAGCGTAGCAACATGCGGCTTTTGCATTTCCTCGAGCACAGCGTGCGAGTCTCTGGGTAGACCCGCGACTCTGGCGTGGCGCGAGTAGAAAACACGAGAGGCTCTAAAGGGCAGAAGCGTATCAAGGCGGAAGAAGCGCGGAGTGCTGCTTTCAGCTTTTGACGCAGCGGTGTCGGAGCGCTGTCGATGTGTTGTTTTCTGGGGTGCGGGGCCATACGGGTGAGCTGTGTCGCGGGGTTTTTTAGGTACCGAAAGCGATTTCGTGTGTGGTTTTTTGGGGGGGACGGCGAGGGCAGGGCGAGCGGTGTCGGGAGCTACAAAGGGGTTTACGGATGCGACGTCGAGGTCCATGACGCAGGGCTGGCGGCTCTCGTTGAACTCGACGGGCTCGAAGGAACCGCCCTTGTTGCGCATGAAGCTCTGCTCGATGACGCCGTTTCCACGGAGCAGCGCGGGCTGAGACGCGCCGTGGAAGTTGTGCAGGTGCTGGAGAAAGGCGTCTTCCGAGGTGTAGAATTCCTGGTTACATGAGCGGTACCGATGCTGGTCCTGTGCGTGTTCTACGTGGAATGTGCGGTATCCCGCGCCGCACAAGTGGCAGTGGTGTGGCTTTGAAGAAGTGTATTCTGCGCTTAAAGCAGGCCCGGCAATGTCGGCAGCGACGTCGTCGAAGCTGCGCAGGAACCGGCAGCTCCAGACGCGGCAATGCGAGTGCTCAATCATTTCTTTGACATCGGTAAACACCTTGTGGCAGTACCGGCAACGGAAGGATTCGTAGGGCGACGCAGTGTAAAGATTCTCCAGGTGGTTCTCTTTGCGTTCGGTCCACCAAACAGCACGATTGAGTTCACGCGAGATGAGATGCTCGGCAACGTGCTCACATCTCTCAGACCAATCGGTTGACTTCTTACCGCAGAAGCCACAGTGGAGCATAGGATCGTCACGCTTCATAGGTGCACCAAAGCGACGCCACTTCATGGTGAGATCCTTGCAGCCAAAGTTGTGCCCTTCAGCAGCCAGTAATCGCGCCTGGCATCCAACCCGCACCGATGGATGTTTGCTGTTGCCAAAGTGTACATGATGCAGATGCTGAATGAAGTGGTCGCGGCGATAAAAAGTTCGTTGGGATTCAGGCTTGCTTCGACACTGCTGGTATCTGTGTCCGGCCAGATGTGCATCGTCGGGCTGAGCCTGCCCACAAAACGGACATGCTTGGAGAACTGCGTTTGATTTTGTGTCGCAACATATCCAGGTAGTTCGCAGCGCGTGTACCGAGTCTTCGTGGCGGATCCACTCGTACTTTGTTTTGAATGCTCGGGGACAGAAAGTGCAGAAGAAGGGCAGATCCTTCTGTGGCTCGCCTGCGCTGTTGACGCCGTTTATAGCCTGGCGAGGCGACTCCTTCCATGCCATGCGGCGTCTGCCACGCCTCCGGTCTCGACCAAACGACGAAATGTTACTACGACTTCCGCTAGACGACACTGTATAGATGGTTGGTGCAGTGCCTTCTGATGAAGCAACGGATGTGATGACGGAGCCTCTTCGGCCTTGCCTCGATGTCGACATTTCATCGTCCTGGCAGCTCCCACTGACCGAGTGCTCATCAATTGCGGCTTGCACTGTAGATAAAGCCAGACCCTCCTCTTGGTAAGACTGAGCAAGGTATAGAGCCAGTGGCGGTTGTGGTGGCTGTACGCTCTCTACTTGCATATCCAAGCTTTCCAGGCTATCTTTTGAAAGTCGTGCGTTCAACGCATGCTTTCCAGATGCCGGGCCATCTCGCATGGAGGTTGGTGCATCTGTCAAGTCAGCATCGGAAACTGATGTATTGAAGGCTACGCACCTTGATATTTCTTTCTTGATCGAGTATTGTTAAACCAATTGCGGACTTTCTTAACGTCAAGATTGGCTTGGTGGGCAATAATGTCCATTTCCCATGAGCAAGGATAGGCATTGGCAGCAAACTCCTCTTCTAGGATCTGCTTGGCCTCGACAGGGATGCGGCCTTGGGGACCTTTGCGTTTCGCTGAAGCAGGCTTCCAGCTGCCGCCAGGGGTTTGCTGGGTTGGCGCGGTAGAGACGGTAGGCAAGGTTGCCAGTTCAGGAGAAGTGTTGGCCTGGGCTGCCGATTGTTCGTCCAAAGACGGAGAAGATTCAAACCCCCCTGCGTCAAGTATGCTATTATTACCTGCACAGGGGATATCGTGATGTGGGGCGTCACTCGATAATGAGGGCGTGGCTACAGCATCTAGGCCTTCTATAGGTAATGGGTCTCCAGCGGGCGTGTCTAATGTGGGGTCCACAGCAGGTACTGGCCATTCAGAAGCCTCGGACAATGGTAATTGCTGGCCAGACTGCCCAATGGAAAGACCTTGGGGAGCATCGTACATAGGTTCATCCCAGTACAGCGTACCATCGACGGAACGGCTCGAGGCTGTTGGATCCGTAGCCCAGTCCGTAGCGGTGACATTGTTGGTAGGTTGAAAGGCCACAGTCTGCTCTTGGTGGGAAGCTTTGATGGCGCGCAGCTCAGAATCATGCTCGAGCGCAGCAAAGTCGAAGAACTCGTCCATCTTGTCCAGTGCGTTACCAGTCATGTCGGCGTGTTACGGATGGATAGATTGACACTAGGGAACTCCAATGGCGGTTATCCAGGCGACATGCAATCAAACATTGGTGGCTTGGCGAGACACAGAGGAATAAAACAACGGTCGATATATGGGAGTCGCATGACAGGACGTAGTCATGGGTGAAATGGAGACGAGGTCAGGGTAAGGCTCTGCGGCTGGCGTCGTGGAATGATGAACTGGGTGTCGGCGGCGATCCTCTAGGCAGCCAACGCTAATCAGCCGCGCCTCGGGCGCACATCACTCGTATAGGGGCGAGTAAATTTTGCGCTGGTGAGAAAATGGGGAGGAGTGAGACGTGCAAAGCGAGCGAGAGGGTCAGCATCGGGACGGGCGTGTGGGGGGCCCTGATGGGTGACGGCAACATATGAACCAAACCATCGGCATGCGCCCGCACTCAAGCCGAGACTGCGCCACTACCCGATGGGGTTAGCGCCACTGGTTGCTCCACCGAAAAGTTCGTCCCACCCGAAAAGCTCGCGACACGAGCAACCTCACGCGCATTGATCGCATTCCATACGCACAATGGCCGCCGAAGTACAACTGGTGCAGCCCCTGAAGCTGCCGAAAGGCCCTTCCACACTCACGTCGGAGCAAAAGTACTGGAATTCCTTCGCCTCTGAGCTGCGGCTCGACCCTTCGCAGCACTCGTCGCCCGTAACGCACATTTCCATACCGCCGCCCCAGCCCGCAAATGCGCTTTCTGCGCCGCAGGACCTGTTTGCGGTGACGACTGGATCGCGCGTGCAAATATTCTCCACAAAGACCCGCAAAGTGGTCAAGACCATCTCACGCTTCGGCGTCGACGACATTGCGCATTCGGGCAACATACGGCGCGACGGCCGCATCCTGGTTGCAGGAGGAGACAGCGGTGTGATACAGGCATTTGATGTCAAGAGCAGGGCTATTCTCAAGACATGGAAGGAGCACAAGCAGCCCGTCTGGGTCACACAGTGGAACCCACAAGAGCTGACCGGTTTGATGAGTTGCTCGGACGACAGGACAGTGCGATTATGGGATCTGCCGAGCGAGAAGAGCACGATGAAGTTTGATGGCCATCAGGATTACGTGCGCAGCGGGACGTTTATGCCTGCGCAGAGTGGACTGCTTGTGTCTGGAAGTTACGATCAGACGGTCAGGCTGTGGGATTCGCGAGTGGGCGGCAAAGCCGTCATGGTCTTCAAGCACGCTGCGCCTATTGAGGCGGTTCTTCCCATGCCTTCTGGAACCGCTGTTCTCGCGTCGTCTGACAACACCATCAGCGTCTTGGACATTGTGGCTGCAAAGCCCATCCACATGCTGCGCAACCACCAAAAGACGGTCACGGCGCTTTCGCTAGCAAACAACGGCGAGCGCCTCCTATCTGGTGCTCTGGATGGCCATGTCAAGGTGTTTGAAACCACGGGCTGGAACGTCGTGGGCGGACTGAAATACCCCTCGCCCATTCTCTCGCTCAACGTCATCCCTAGCCAAAAGGAGGATCGCCACATTGCCGTGGGCATGCAATCTGGGCTGCTCTCCATCAAGACGCACCTCTCTGGCGAGCAAAAGGTCCAGGCGCGCGAAAGGGAAAAGGAAATGAAGGCCCTGATGGAAGGCAAGATTGAAGAGTACGACAAGAGCAAGAAGCGGAAGCGAGGCAAGGGCTGGGAAAAGCGCCTCCGAGGCAAGGATTTCACCGGCGAAAGCGCAGACATTGTCATTGAAGGAAACGCTCGCGGCAAAATCACCACCGGCCAGCCCTGGGCTCACGCCCTGCGAAAAGGCATGTACGCACAAGCTCTGGACATGGTGCTCGAGTCAAAAGTAGGTTTTGTCTATTCTATCTTATTACATGTATATTTGCTAAACTCATCCGCCACGCAGGAAGGCAACGCCCGCGACCAATCCATTACGCTGCTCACGGCTCTACGCCACCGCTCTGCTCTGCGCGCTGCCCTCAGCAACCGCGACTCGCTGACGCTGCAGCCCGTTCTCCGCTGGTGTATCAAGAACATTTCGGATTACCGCATTACGCGCCTTACTACCGACGTTGCTCTCGTTGTCCTCGACTTGTATGCCGACCAGCTCGGGCGCAGCGAGGAGGTCGACGATCTCGTGCTCGCTCTCATGCAGCGCGTAAAGGTTACCGTCGAAGCGAGCCAGGATGCTTGGAAGGTCAGGGGTATGTTGGACATGCTGGTTAGTAGCGTGGGGACTGCCGGCGATGGCGGTAATGGCGCAGACGCCTTGACCTAGAATTGCCCGCTTTCATGAGCTCCCCCCTTCTGGTCGAAATACTGGATTTGCATAGCGATGGCGTCTGTTTTTTTTTCAAGGTAGCTTTTCTTCTTTCTTGTTTTGTTTTTTTTTCGCTCGTCCTTGGCCCTTGCTATATATAAGAGTTGCGATATCGTAGGCGGAAAGGGAAATGTGAATGTAAAAAAAAAATCGGGAAAGCGAACGGCCGAGAGCATGTATCATGGAACCTGGGGTGAAGCATGGCGATGGTTGCCCATAGGGGAAATGAACGGGAGAGTTTGTTTTTTTTACCAGGAAAAAAAAATAGAAATGTGTTCATGTCACTCTGGTCGTTGTTCGTGGTAGAAGAAGAGGAAGTGTGGTTCATGTCACTCAGAACAATGACTAAATCAAATCGTGCGTGTTCAGGTAATATATTGTACACGCCGATTTCGCTTGCGTCGGCGGATGTATTGTATACATCTAAAAAAAAAAGTGGTTAAAGATTGGTGTCAGGCTTACCAGAGGCAAAACTGGCGTTGCGAGGTGACGGGTCGGTCGGGTAGAGCGACCCACAGTTTGCGGTTGTCGCGCTTCTTCTTGATTTCGTCTGAGATGCGCATGCGTGTCTTTTCTTCTTTGAGGAGGAGGGAGAAGCCTGTTGGGGAGGATTGTTAGTATCGTGTAAATGTCACGTGTCCAAGGGGTAAGGCGTGTTGCAAGTCACGTGATGGATGTCGACATCGACTTACTTGTAGTGCGGTGTTTCAGCATGTTAATGGCGCCTCTAGCCCTGAACTCTGGCGACTTCCAGCTCTCGCCGGGACCGACCCATGCCTGGTCAATGTAGATCTCGCTGGGGTCGCGGACGAGCTTTTTGCGGCCGTCCTTGAGCTCAATCTCCGTGTCCTTGAAAAAGGGCACCTTTGGCTTCTTGGGGGCTGCGTCAGAGGCGTCGGTCGATGTCTTGTAGTCCCAGGTGTCCTTCGGCTTCCCCGCATCCGTCGCCTCTCGTTGCTTATTCCAGCGCGAGACAGCGGCTGACTCGCCGGCCAGGCCCATTCCACGGGCTAGAATGGCTTGATTTTGGGCAATTTCCAGACCCTTGATTACGTCGCGGGCAATCTTCTTCTTGGAGAAGCGGAGCTGGACCAGGGCCTCTGAGACCGTCTTGCCGGCGATCTGGTTGACTACCTTTTGCAGCTTCTTGGTCGATGTGGGCAGAAAGTGCGACTTGAAGAGCGATTGGCGCTCGGTGCGGAGCAGCTTTTCCGCCTTGGTCGTGCGGCCGTGGCGCTTGACACCCGAGATGACGAGCTTGCGTTCGAGGCGCTTGCGGGCGTTTTGGTCGGGGTCGAGCGTCATGTTCATGAGCTGGCGGTCTTGCTGCTCGGCGGCCTGTTCCTGGCGGCGCCTGTACCGCGCCTGCAACTTCTCTTTTTCGGCGGCACTCAGGTCGTCGCGCCATCCGGGGATCTCGCGTTCGGGGAGGAAGAGCGAAGAGGGGTGGGTGGGGAGGCCTCCAAGGCGAGGGGTAGGCCGCACTGGCCGGGTGTTGCCGTCTCGCGGGGCTGATTCGCGCTCCTTCTTCTGCAGATATTCTTCGAGGATGGGATTGGAGAGGTCGTCATAGGCATTGCTGCGGCCAGGCGACGAGGCATTGCGGTGGGCGATGCAGGGGAGCCACTGGGGGCGGGGGCGAGGGCGAGGACGCAGGACGGCGAGGGCTGGGGCGTAGACAGTCAGTAACGGTGCTGGTGCGGGCTTGCACAGCAGGACGGCGGCGTACCTGGGCGTGCCAGGCGCGGCGGGGGTATTCGGGCGGTCATGGTGCAGCCTGGCGCCGCAATGGGTGCGGCGGGGATGGCGGTGGTGGTGGTGATATGGGAAGCTGGCGGGAAATTCTGTGGTTGCGGCCACAGGCTGGGCGCTTGCAGGGGTGGAGAGTCTCGGCAGATCTCCGCCAGGCGATCAAGCCTCAGAAGAAATGTGCAGCTGGCCGTCTCGCGCACGTCGTCGCGGCGCCACCAGACGGGCGTGGCTGCCATGGCATGTGCAGCTGCACACACACGCGCGCGCACCGGCACCGGCTCTCTGTCGACGGCCAGGCCAGGGACGCGCGCGTGGCTGGTGGTGAGGGCCGAGTTGCTGGTGCTGCATCATTGCCTGATTAGTCGCGGGCCCAAGCGCGTGTGGTGCACCTAAGCACCTTTTCTTCTATTAGACCAGACAGTGGCAGGCCTTCTCACCCACGACGCCGTCGACGAGACGCCTGCTCGCCCTCTCGCCCTCGCCCTCGCCCTCTCGCCCTCGCCCTCGCCCTCGCATTCCCCCCTGCCCTCGCCGCCCGCTGCCGCTGCCCTCGCCCTGCGCATCCGCCCCTGCTCCGCGCGCCGCCCCTCTGTGCTCGTCCCATGCCGTTCGCTACGCGGGATTCGATGCCGCCGTGTCCCTGCTGCTCGCGACGGTAGAAAGAGAACTCGGGAGCCACACGCCCAGCGCATTGAGGGGAGGGCTGCACGAGTACGCGGCACGCTCTGGTCGCATCGCATCGCAGCCAGCCAGCCCCACGCCGCCGCCGCCGCCGCCGCCGCCATGGACATCAACTCGCTGCTGTCGCCGTCCGACTCGCCTGCGGGCACCCCTACACCCCAGCCCGCGCCGCCGCCCGCCGCGTTGTCGCCATCTCTGCTGCGCTCGCCGGGCAAGCGCACGAGGCGCCAGATGCCATCGCGCACTCCCTCCGGCCTCAGCCAGCACGTCATGTCGTCGCCCGCGCCGCCGCCCCAGCATGTGCATTCACGCGGCCCGTCGCCCGCCTTCTCGCACGCTGCGAACGGCGCACGCCCGATACACAGCGCCATGGGCACGCCCCAGCACGTCTCGTCGCCCCACGAGTCGCGCGTGACGCCGCCGAATCCCATGTACCGCCAGACGTCGACGCCCGGCATGGACACTCTCGCAGGTACGTGCCCGCTGCAGGCGACTTGACCTGGGCCTATGCAGGGCACGCATAGTGTGTCGTGCCACTTAACCCGCGCCTGCTAACCCTCCACCAGACCTTGCTAGCATGCAGCATCAGCAGGCTGCGCGCCAGAGCTCGGGCGTCCACCAGCGCCCAGTAACGTAAGTCCTGTCCCCAATGCCCCGCGACCTGGCCGCCGTCGCCGCTTACACCACGCCTTGCATGTCTGCGGGGCGCCTGCACATGCCATGTCCCAGTTGCGTGACGTGACGTGACGTGAGCGCAGCGCCCTGGCCCGGTAGCGGCTGCCCGGTGCAAACACGCCGTTTGCACCCGACAACACCAGAGACTGACCACCCTCCAGACTGCAACACCTCGGCCAGAACCTCTCGGGCGAGTCGGTCGCCAGCATCATGTCCGAGGCCTCGCCGCGACCGCGCAATTTCGTCACACGGTCCCTGGAGCCGCAGCTCATTGACTGGCTCAACCAGCTCGACAAGACGCTGCTGGAAAACCCCTTTGACTACTACAGCCACGTCTCGCTCGTCACCACGCTGCACCAAGGCCTGCAGAACCACCTCACGTCTTTTGACGCCGACCCCAACGCATACGAGCTCGTCCAGACACTGCGCGATGCCTACAAGACCATGTCGGACAAGTACCCGCTGGGCGAGCTGCTGTGGCACTACCGACTGAACGACGAAAAGACGCTGGCAAGAGACGTCGAGGAGCGAATGGGCGTGCTGGAGCTGCACAAGCAGGCCACCCAGGAAGAGCCCTACAGCGCCAAGCTGTGGGCAGCGTACGGCGAACATGTGAGCTATCTAGTCGCTTGCTCGTGGGAGCAGGTGCCGCCAGAAGAGTGGCCTGAAGAAGAGCGCCTTATTGGCCGGGAGCTATTTCAGCCTCAACACTTGTTAGATGTATTGCAGCAGGGCGCCGAGCGCGTCAAATACAATCTCCAAGAGAGTAACCTGGTGTGGGATCGCTACCTGCAAGTGCTAGAAGAAGACCTTGAGCGCGGCGGCTTCAGTCAAGAAAAGGCCAAGAGAGTAGCTGCCATTTACAACGAGCGTCTGGGCCAGCCCCATGCTACATGGGCAAACACGCTGTCGAGATACTCGTCCTTTAACTCTAGGTACAACCAGAGCCACTACGAACAGGTCATGGATGATGCCGTGCAGAAAAACACGCACATTAAGCAGCAGTACGCCAATCGCGAGGAATATGAGTTTAAGCTTCTGCAGGCCATCCAGGCAGGCGATCAGGCCGCCGAGTACAGCGCCATGACCCGGTACCTCAAGTGGGAGAAGCGGACCATGGGTGTCTACAGCTTCCACCTCGTCAATGCGCTCTATGAACGGGCCACACTGCGTTTTCCCGTCGATCCATCGCTGTGGGAAGACCACGTCGAGTTCCTGGTCTGGCAAGACAATCGTTCTGTTGACCTGCTAAATGTCCTGGAACGCGCGACGCGCCATTGCCCATGGTCCGGAGCGCTATGGTCCCACCGGTTACTTACGCTCGAAGCCGAGAACAAGCCATTCGAGGACCTCGAACTCGTCAAACACACCGCGACTGGATCGGGCCTGCTGGAACACACAGACTTGGATGAGCTCATCAAGGTACAGCTTGCCTGGTGTGGCTACTTGCGCCGGAGGGCATTCAACGACCCCCGAGCAACAGAGGACGACGTGGATGTGGCAGAGGTTGGCATCCGGTCTGCACTAGAGTTTGTCCGCGAAGTCGGCATGAAGAAGCACGGCAGGGAATGGACCGACCCGAAATACCGGCTTGAGCGTACCCATGTCAAGTTCTGGCTGCAGCGAGGCGACATTGATCAAGCTCGGCAGATCCACGAGTCAGTCGCAAAACACCAAGAAGACTCGTATGACTTTTGGTATCGCTACTACATATTTGAGATGCTGATCTGGGCGCCGCATTCGGCTCGAAACAAGCAGAATGCAGGGCACCAGCTTCTGCCGCCTACTCTTGCGACAGCAGTCTTGGAGCGCGCCATGAAGCGCCTGCACACCATCGATCACCCAGAACCGCTTATCGAAATGTACGTCAACCATTGCGAGCAGCACGAGACGGCTCTCAAGGTGCGAAGTGCTGCCATGGAGGGACGGAGAGCTGAGCGCATCGTTTCGGTTCGCAGAGAAAAGGAATGTGCACACGCCGCCGCGACAGCTGTGCCACAAGACACGCCAGACAGCCAGGCGGCAGATGCTTCAGGCAAGCGCAAGCGGGAAGACGGCGATGAAGAGGCAGTCTTGAAAAAGAGCAAGCACAGGGACGCAGAGGCTCCCAAGACTGTGGTCAACGGCGAGGCTAGAGTGGCTAGCGAGGCACCCTCCGAGGCTCGCTCCGCAGGACCCAAACGAGACCGCGAGCATACTTCGATTATCGTCAAGAAGCTACCTGCCAACACGCCACAAAACCGGATACGCCAGTTCTTCACTGATGCCGGCACTGTGCGGAACCTGGTACTGAAGGAAGAAAAGGATAGCCTAACAGCTGTTGTTGAGTTTGAGACTCCAGAGGAAGCTGACTATGCGTTGACCAAAGAGGCCAAGGGCTTTGACGGCCACGAGATTTCGATTGAGCGGGGCCAGAGCACAACGCTATACGTCACAAACTATCCCGCCCATGCTGACGAAGCATGGCTGAGAAAGCTCTACTGTCCATTCGGAGAGATTGTCGGCATCCGGTTCCCGTCTCTCAAATATGACGCACACCGCCGTTTTTGCTACGTACAGTTTGCCTCGGCCGAAGCAGCCATTGCGGCAACACAACTAGATGGTACCGACGTTGAGGGCTTGAAGCTCGTCTCGAAGATTTCCGATCCCAATGCTAAGAAGAAACGTGACAACGCAACTGCCGAGGGCCGCGAATTATACATCTGGCATCTCAGTTTCAAGGTCAAGGAGCGTGAAGTCCGAGAGACGTTTGCCAAATTTGGCAAAATCGAGAGGATAAAATGTCCCATTATCAAGCCGACGGGCAACAACCGTGGATTCTGCTACATTGTCTATGAGGACAAGGCGAGTGCCGATGCCGCTGTGGCGGAGATGCACGAGAACGAGTTTCATGGTTTCAAACTCATGGTTGAGATTGCAACTGATCGACCTGCTACCAAGCCCAAGACGCAGTCGACTCTGGAGAACCCGGCAGCATCAAGTTCTGCACAGGGCGACGCACCTTCCGAAGCGGCCATTAAGCCTGCATCTTTCATGGACCGATCTATCGCCATTCTCAACCTTCCCGATACCGTTCCCGACGTGCGTATCAAGCCGCTCGTCGAGGAATACGGCTTCAAGAAGATCAAGCTTGAACCCCACCACGGCGGTGCTATTATCGAATTCACGACTATCGAAGGAGCCGGCAAGGCCCAGTTTGCACTTGAAGGAAAGGAATTCGAGGGAAGGAAACTCCGCATTGGAACAATTCAGGATCTCAACAAACAAAAGGGAGAGTGGAGGCCAAGCACCAGTTTTGTCCAGCCCAACCGCGTCAGTCGCCCCACTGCTCCCCGCGGCGGTCGCGGACGAGGCAAGCCTGGTCTCGGACGGCCCATGATTCCCAAGAGCGCTCTCGCGGGCCCGGTCGAGCCAAAGAGCAACGCAGACTTTCGCGCGCAGTTCCTAAAGGAGCCTGCCAAGGACGACTCCTCTACCAAGGACACTGACAAGATGGAAGAGTAATGGCAGGAGGAAGGCGGATTTGAGGTTGTATGTAGGCATTGTCGGAATTGTAGGGAAGCCAAACCAAGGTCAAAGGAACTGGAACTGGAACTGGATTGGTGTTTTTTTTCCGGTTGTGCATATTATGGAGGTGGAAGAGGGAGGGGGAGAGGGGGGGGGTGGTTGACAAGAGGTTTTTTTCTAGTTTTTTTTTTCCAAAGACAAAATTTAGGAAAGAGAAGAAAAAAAAAGATCCCTCACCTCCCTGGATTGGTGTTTATCATTGTCATGATCATCATCAGTCGTCTTTGTGTTATTACATATATCACTTTTTGCATACTTCTGGCGTATGTATGTACTTGGTCGGGGGTTTTTTTTATATATATTGAGGGATATTTATGTGGTTCTTTCTTCTTCTTCTTCTTCTTCTTCTTCTTCTTCTTCTTCTTCTTCTTCTTCTTCTTCTTCTCTCTCTCTCTCTCATCTCTCCCCATCTTCTTTCCCATCGCCTTTCCTCGTCTCATCACATGGCTGGATTTCTAGTCTGTCGTATGTATCCTGCCCACACTGACTATCCATTTACACAGACACAGATACAGACACAGATACACTACATTGCCTACACATGTACATATCGACGCACACGTAACCCTACATACACGTCCATATATATGGCTACATATACCTGCGTACATGTACGTACAAAAAGCAGAAGGAGAAAGAGAAAGAGAAAGACAAGGAGAAAGACATACATTCCACCATGCTATGTAGTGCTACACACATACCGTGCACGGGCGAAATATCTTGACTTTAGGATTTTCAGATCTATCGTCAAAGGACGAGGGAAGGGGGTAATCACTTAGTTAGGTTATTTGGTCGCTTACTCGTTTATTGCTAGCATGATATTCCTGGTATCGGATTGTAGAGAATTTTTTTTTCTTCTTCTTCTTCTTCTTCTTCTTCTTCTCTTGTCTGTTTTCTCTTGTCTGTTTTTGTAGGCATGAATTTCCAAAGGCTCTGTGCTGTGGGTCTCTGCGCTGTGCTGTGCTGTACTATCTCATTCTATCGCCTCGCCTCGCCTCGCCTCCCCCTTACCGTACATCATACCATATCATATCACATCATATTCTGCTCTCTTACATTACCACTACAATACCACTTTGTATCCATCCATCTCTCTTATTCCATCCTTCTCTCTCAATCTCAATCTCAATCTCCTCTTTCTTCCTCACCCGCACTCTGTCATCTCAACATCTGTCCGTATCTGTCATATCAACGTCTGTCTGTATCTGTTTTACCAGCGTATATATATGTATGTATGTATGTACGGACAGATATATCCATCTAGCCAGTAAACGATTCAACTATTCAACCATCTCGCAATTCCAGCCTAAGTATTCCTGTGCTGTTTATATATATATATATAACGTATTCCACCACCGAGAGTGCCACCCCACCGAGTGTGCCACTTTTTCTTGGCATCGCGAACATCACATATGAAAACTTGAATTACTCTACACTAGCTATAGATGCTTCGTACGACTCACTTGCATCTAACATAGAATCTTCTTCTACATCTTTTTGGCACGTACGGGCGTTATGGCCCACTCTCCCACAGATTCCACAGTGCCGTTGACCTGGCTGGG